TTTGGAGAAAAATAAAATTATTGAATTATATAAATCTACATCCCTAAAGTTAAATCTTGATTGCCTAAAAAAATATGATAAATTTGTAAACACCACTAATCAAACTCAATACAAAAATCAATTACAAAAAACACAATGGTTCCATGACATCCCCTCTTATAGAGTAAATATATGCACATACAACTATAAAGATACTAAATTCTCACATGATAGATCTCACACAATCAAGAGTGAAACCCTTCTCAATCAAGAATGAAACCCTTCCGAAAAGCACTAAGTTCCAAACAAAATATTAGATGGAGAAGTTAACAACTTATTGTAAATCAAATGGTCACTTTTGAATGCGCCACATCCTCTCAAAATTTAGTTTTGAACCTCCTAAAGAATTGATTGGAAAGCCTACTGAGGAATGCCCAAAATTCTAAGAAATTTCTAATTGAGAGATTCAACAAAAATCCCTTCAAAACCCCAGAGTATTTAGCCAATATTTTAGGTATTCAAGTTACAATTGGATTTCACCCTTTAGTATTCCTGCTAGTGAGTGCCACCTAATGTTGTAATGCCATGTCAGATCTAACGTGGCATTTAACTTAGCCACCTTAACGGGGATTTAACATTTTCAGTTAATATTAACTGTGGGTGACTAACGGTTGGACACCTTAGGAAGTTAGGTGACCATTTTGTTAGGTTTAGAAGTTGAGTGACCAAAACGTTGATTTTAATAAAGTTGGGTGACCACCCATGAGATTCACCCTATTCTAGGAGTACCTCTTTTAGTCTTTTTTCTTCTATAGCCCTTTCTCTTTTCTAATTTGAAAATAAGTACTTAATTGACATTTAATCCATTCCCTATTTTTTGGTACTTTTGTTGATAAGTCATACAACAAACAAGAAATACTCATATTTTCCATTTAAAATAAAAACCTTCAATTTGAAAATTAATTAAGTTCTCCACTAAAATTGTTTTAGACCTAGATGTTGGAGCAATAGATTCTGAATTCTACTCTAGTAAATAACTAGTTTTCTTTTCTTCTGTTTTTTTCTTCTTAGTGATGTAATTTTAACTTAAATACTTATTTTTTATGTGTGAAACTCATGAATAAGTATATATTATTTATTTTTTTCATAAAATACTTCGTTGTGCTTAGATCATTACCAGAAGCACAATAAACAAGTACCAAAAGAGTCAAACAATTATTGGACTGCACAACATGGTTGAATGAGAGTTGAGTTTGTTGATATTTGGGTTATTATCCTTCATTAGTTTTTATTTTATGGTAAAGTGTAATATTATAAACTACAAAATAAAAAATTTATTTTTTTAAAGAAAATGATTAGTATATATTTAATTTAACACATTTTTAATTATTTATCTAATTTAATTATTAAAATATAGTATAAATATAATTTT